GGGTCAGCCCGGCTCGGTTCTGGTGCCCCGGGGGTGCCTCATCGGTGTCCTCGTCCCTGTCCTGGGAGCATTGCACGGGGGGAGAAAGGCAGAGGGAAACCAGAAAGGTCTCTGGTTAGTTTTGCGGGAAAGGCAGTGTGATGAGGTGAGCGGTTGGAGACCCCTGGTTACCTGGATATTCTGCCCTCAGCATGCATACAGGAATCAGAAGCATAATTTTAAAAAAAAATAATTAAAAGTAAGAAACTGCTGAGTGTAGGAGAAGTGGAACAAAGCTGGCCAAGTACTACTTGGTGCGTGCAAATGAGAGGCTTTGTGAAATCACTCCCAGCAATGGCTAAAGGCCTCTCTTCTGCTCCTTTGCTTAAGAAGCCCTTGTGACACTTAGTTGTGCCGAAGTGCAGATTCACATCACAGAGATGTTCTCAAGATGTGACTGCCATCACTAAGGAAGCCACAGACCGAAAATATAAAGAGTTTTTAACCTCAGAAATACACCTGTGGTAACTAAGGAGCCCAGAGAAGCGGAACAACTGCCCAAGGTTAGCTGGCAGGACTCAGACTAGGCTGCGAGCTTCCTAAATCAGCTGAAAAGAAATCCTCTTGCGCTGGATCTCAGCCTTGGATGTCCATATCCCCTCGAGGGTGACTTTGTTGTTCCCCACAGTGGGACCTGGGCAGCCCTTTAGGAGGTGGCACTTATGAGGACCACTTGTTCCAACACGTTCTCCCTCCTATACAGACCTGCTGGTCTCTTGGGAGATGCCAGAAAGACCTGTTTTACCTGTGCCTGTGCATCTCCCAAGGGGACAGGGTCAGGCTGCGTTCCCACAGGGCATATCTCAGGGCCGAGCTCCAGCCGAGCCTTGCTCGGGGCTAAGCTCCTATCTGCTGTTTGGTGCGTGTCTTCTTCTCACACCTGGATGGACAACCGATGCATCAGCTCTTGTTGCTCTGGAGCAGCACCCTTCCCCTGGGCTTAGCAGACAAACCAGCAACGCTAAATCCTCATGCAATGGAGGAAACACCATGGAAGACCCAACTCTCAGCCTCAAACTCTCAGCCTTGCAATAGCTGTCCGGGATTCAGCTTGCCTGAAAGATGAGATGGTGGGAGGTGCAAAGGCCAGGTGCCTGCTAGGAATTCATCCCAACTGCCTGAGCTGGGCAGATGCAGGCTCCCTCCTCTTTCCACAGCAGAGCCAAGTGCCTGGGGGAAGGTAGAATTTCACCCTGGAGCCTGGGAGAAACCGAAGCTCAGGTTACGAGGTTTCACTACAGCCCTAAGGTCTGCTGTTGAGCCGCCCCAGGGCTCCTCCGCAGCACCCCTTGTGCCCCTGAGAGCTGGGATGTGGTGGTGACCCTGGGCAGATGGATGTGGCCTTGTGAGAGCAGACTGCGCGGCTGTGCCCGTGCTGGAGAAGAATTCAAAGTAGTGTGCTCATCACTTTAATATTGAATTAATAGCAGTCTACACACAAAAGGTCCAGGAATTGCCATGACTGTTCCCACAGTTCTCTCCTTGCTGCTGGCCTCTGCGAAGCACTGAAAACCCCCATTGATCCAGTTTGTATCCTCCATGGTCCCCAAAGAATCCCAGAGAGATCTGCTGCAGTCATGGATGGCACTGTGGAGTCCTCCCA